GAAGAAGAAGAAGAAGAAGAAGAAGAAGAAGAAGAAGAAGAAGAAGAAGAAGAAGAAGAAGAAGAACAAGAAGAACAAGAAGAAGAAGAAGAACAAGAAGAAGAAGAAGAACTTTGTTCGTATACATGGGGGTGTTTCAGTTCGGTTTCTCTTTCTGAAACTTAAAAAGGCAGGCATCAAAGTACATAATTTTACTATGGAGTAGGCAAATTCATGTCTCTGATTTGTGTACGATGGTTCAAGACGTGCCGGAACATTGCCTTGGGTCTGCTGGTGATGGAGCATATCATGTGTCCGCTACGTATTTAAAATGAAAACTCTTGCACTTCTTAGCTAGCATCATAAGTGAAACAAGGTACTCGGCATGGAGTTTACGAATAATACGTATCAGTCTCAGCATGAAAGATGTAGCATACAGTGGAAGTCAGTTTCACCGTAGTCGTCGGCCCTGTTCTTCAATTTCGTTGAATCCGAGTTTTCGTTTTATCCGAGTTCGTTGAAACCGAGATCCACTGTATTTTATTCGAAACCCGAGGAAACACCCGATTATGCCGTGAGGAGGTTTTCTGCTTTAAATCGAGTATCAGGGTTTTGTTTCCTTTTGTTTTTGCAGCAGTTTTAGGGCACTTGCAACACAATACGGTCAAGTACGTGCCGAAGATTAGAGGTGTTACAAGAGATTAACAAACACAAAAAAGAAGGAGGAGAGAAAAGGACAACAGATGTTTGATACGATAGAGGCAGATAAAACCCATACTAGAGCACCAGCCAACCACCCACTACCTCCATCTGTCTGTTAGACCGTTGTTTTCCTCCCCCTCTCAACCCAGGTTGGCCCTGACAGGCAGGGTCGAAGCAGCCTCCTAAACGATCTAAAAAGGGTCGAAGGAGGTTTAAAAGACATACTACGAACGACTACATTATCAGAGACAGAAGGACCGTAGGAGGGCCGTTGGAGGCCGTTGGAGGATCTTACCGAAGCATTCGCTGTTGTCCAGGGAAGGGATGTAACCATCGAAACAGTTGCACAGTCCGTTATGGCAGTGGCTGAAACTGGCGCAACAGTCCTGGTCCTTGAGGCACAGCTCGTCAATGTTGTTGCCTGAAAGTATAGATGGATGGATACATAGAGGGAGTAATGGATAGATGGATGGAGTGATGGATGGACAGCCGGATGGCTTGTGTGGGGAAAACCTTCGCTCAACAGCAAGCTCTTTACTATCTATTATATTGCCACAGCAGACCTGGCTTCAGGAGTAGTCATTACTTTTGACGATCTCTTTTCGAAAAGTTTTTCAGAATTGTTTTTAAAAAATACGTTTTGGGAAGTAAAAATCTAGTGTACAGTTAATGGTTTGGATTTGCTCATCGTAGTTATAGCGAGAGGTAGGGATATTACGGTACACACAATGATATCTTTATGGAGAACATGGATAAAGGCTTCAGGTTCTATAACTTTTAGAATACGATTACCCACAAACTCATTCCCTCGGTTATTTCCCTTAAACTTCATTTTGCTGCAGCCCAAGCTATTAACTTTTGTGTTACTTGGGTACGTAGAAACGTTTAAAAAAACAACAACTACATCTTACAACAGACCGTAGTGTATTTTCCTGAAATTAAGTTCATTTTTTAAGGTAGAGCTCTCAGTCACAAGCCTAGAGGAGTACTCGTTAATGAAAAAGGTGACCTTTTTCTATGGATACGTTTTCCATTCATGATGCTGCTGAGATATTTAGACTCTCCTTGACTGTCCTAGTTGTTTGTTGTTACATGAATGTTTTGCAGTCATGTAAAAAAAGCAAACAAATAGAGTATAATATGAAGTGTGAAGTGTGAAGTGTGAAGTGCCTTTTCGAAGGACGCAATGTCGGACCGAGATGAGGCTCGAACCCCCGATCCCATATCAATGAAGGAAAAAAAACCCCAACAACAACGAAAAAACAAACTCAAACAATTTTGTGATGTTCAAAAAGAAGGCACGTCCCACGTCAAACTCATATTTCTCGTAACGATGACGGAAAAACAAAACAGAAAACAACAACAACCCCACCACTACAACCACCAACAACAATAACAAGTTTATGACTTTAAAAAAGGAGGCAAGTCCCACAACAAACACATATTTCTCAAAACGATGAAAAGAAAAAGAACCCAAAG